AAACGGGTGCCGTCCTCCGTGGCGAGTGCCGCGATCGGGCGCAACTCGTCGAAATGACGACGCAGCTCTTTGACGTAGTCAGTTATATCCCCCGAGTCCTCTGTTATTTGCCGATGTAGAAACTGCCCCGGTAATCGAAGCGTTTCTGCATATATGAGTTCGGCCGCTGTTGCTCGCAAGTCTTCTCGCCAGGCCGCCTGAACTCCCAGTAGCACCGTCGACAGCACCCGGGTCCAACTACTGCTCTCATGACATTTAATAACCGCTTTGAGCTGGCGATGGAACCGCTCCACCATATCATTCGCTTGCGGATGATATACTGCAGTCCTCAGGTGGTTCTCGTCAACTTACTCAGCTGACGGAAAAGATGAAACTCGAACTGACGTTCCCGATCGATGGTAACTCGCAGAGGCGCACCAAATCGGCAGATCCATCCGTCATAGAAAGCTCTCGCCACTGATTCTGCCTTTTGGTCTTCTAGAGGGAATGCTTTCGGCCATCGCGTACAGCGATCGACGCAGATGAGACAGTATCTCTTTCCCTCTGAAATTGGCATTAGTATGATGTCCAGGTGAACGTGCTTAAATCTCCTGGATGGCACCGCAAATGATCCCACGGGTGTCGCGACATGACGTGATACCTTGGCTCGTTGGCACGGTACGCATGCACGAGCCCAATCCTGAGAGTCTTTGTTTATTGACGGCCAGACATAGCGTTGAGCTATGAGCTTGCTCGTCGCTCTTACTCCCGGATGAGCCAAATTATGGACACTGTCAAATGCGGATCGACGAAATGGTTTCGTCAGGAATGGACGCGGCGTTTTCGTTGACGTGTCGCAATATACCGCTATTCCTGTTCCCGGAATTTCCGTCTCTCTCATTAGCAGGCTTGATTCTTGGTCTAACAGTTTCTTTAATTCCTCGTCAGATTTCTGAGATGCAGCCAATGCGGCGTAGTCCAAAGGCAATTTCAGTTCATTAATTCTTGAAAGTGTGTCAGCCACGACGTTATCGATCCAGGTATATACCGAATATCCGTTGTGAATTGGCCGATAAAATCCAAATGTCTAAACTGACGTGGGGAACATTTATCCGGTTTTTGACGAAACGCGAAAGTCAGCGGCTTGTGATCCGTATACATCGCGAAAGTCCGTGCTTCCAACATGTGCCGAAAATGTTTAATCGCGAGATACACCGCTAACAATTTCCTGTCAAACGCACTATATTTCGACTCAGTCGGACTCAGCTTCTTCGAAAAGAACGCCAGCGGTTCCCAACCGCTGTTGCCGCTTTGTTGCAACGCGGCGCCGACGCTACGATCCGACGCGTCTGTAATAATAACGCTAGTTCCGCGTTACCCTTCGGATGTGCTAACAAAGCGGCGTTGGTTAAACTTTCTCTGATCTTCTTGAATGCTTGCCGTGCTTGCAATATCCATATAATCAGTTGCTTGCCTTTTATATTGTTATGGAGTAGGCCATTGAGTGGTGCTTGCATTTCGGCTGCGTTAGGCAGAAATCTCCTATAGAAATTTAGTATGCCTAAATATCGCTTCAATTCTTTTGCTGACTCCGGTTGCTGAAACTTCTGAATGGCCTGTACTCGTGAAGGCAATGGTCGAGTTCCTTCTCCCGTCACCAGATAACCTAGAAACTCCATTTCCGGCTGGCCAAACACACACTTTCCAGGGTTAATGACTACCCCGTATTTTTGCAGTCGTCCAAGTAAAATTTCAAGGTTTGATGTTCTTCATCCGATTCTGACGCGACCAAGATGTCGTCAATGTACGCGTAACAAAATTCCAGTCCGTACAAAACCTCGTCTGAATGAATCGCTGGACCGTCTGCGCTGCATTGCGTAAGCCGAAGGACATGTATGGAAATTCATACATGCCGAATGGCGTGGTAATCGGTTTTCGAAATATCTTCATCAGCAACCGGAATCTGATGGTACGCTCTTACAAGGTCAATGATTGTGAAGATTTTCTTTCCTTCAAACGTCTGTGTGAAATCTTGGATATGGCGTACAGGATAACAGTCTGGGACTGTTCTCGCGTTGAGCGCCCGGTAGTCGCCGCAAGGTCGCCATTCTTCGGCACTAGGTAAGGGCGATGATCAACAACTCTTAGAAGATCGAGCGACTCCCAGCTCGATCATCCGCTGGAATTCTTTTTTCGCAGCCGTCAAACGCTCCGGAGCGAGTCTCCATGGCTTACAGGCGGACCTGGGGTCGTTTTAATAAAGTGTCGCATATCATGTTTCAGTTCTTTCGGTCGTCCTTCTGATCTCGTCACATCAGGAAACTTTATTAACAATTCGTGATACGGCGACGTACCCGTCACCGTCTTGATGCTGGGTGCATCGCACTGCGCCCCTGGATAGTCAAGCTTGTCACTCCGTCTATTAGTCGACGATCTCGCAAATTCACAAGCAACCCGTAATAAGTTAAAAAATCCGCTCCGATTATCGGTCTCGAAATGTCTGCGATCACGAAGCGCCACACAATAACACGTCGCAAACCGAAGTCCAATGACAGCGACTTCACGCCGTATGTGCGAATAATTGTTCCGTTCGCGGCTGAAAGCTCGTATGTCGATCTCTTCAATGGACCGCGTAACATTTTTCGCGGATAGACACACAAATTAGCCCCCGTGTCGATCAGGAAACTTTCGTACTACGATTGGTTACGAAAAGGCGATGCGTCATCGGGCCTTCTTCATTCGTCGCCATTAGCAATGGGCCGCTGCATTTCCCGCCTGCTGCTGGTTTGCCGAGCAAGGTGGCTCGCAACGTCTTGCATTTGGCCCGAATTTCCAATGCCATCAGCACAGGCCATTCTCTGAATGACCTCGCCCTCGCGAACGTGATCGCGAACGCGATCGCCGCCGATCTCTGCCGCGATTTCTGTCGCGTACTCCGATGGATTCCTATCGATTTCCGTATGGCTGTCAGCTATTCTGTCGTCTCTTGTTGCAACGACGCATCTGTTCCAGTTGCAAGTTGAACTTCGCTTCGATCGTCATAACGTTATCCACTTCCACGGCTCGAAATGATGGTCGCGCGGCTTCCGCGACCTGAAACACTGGCCCACGCGTTGCATCCATGATTGTATCCGCGACGTCCGCTAACTGATTCAACGTGCACTCCGTTCGAGCCGCTAAATGTGGCTGTAAGAACGCAGGTAAACGGTTCAACCGTGCGCAATACTTTCTCCCCGATTATGTTACCGGCAAGATCACGTAAGTGACGCAAAAATTGCGACGGTTTGCGATCACCTATCTCCTCGTGCTCTAGGAGTCTGCGAGTCTTATGTTCTTAGGACAAACTAAGACGTTTAATAAGTTCCGTTTTTAAAGTCTCATACGCGTTTTCCGCAGGCGGGTTCATAATAATGTCGCGCACCTCCACCGTATAACGCGGACTTAACGCGGTGACAGCGTAACTGAATTTTGTGGCGTCTATTGAGATACCGGCGGCCGAAAATTGCGGTCAACAATACTGAACCACAGTTCAGGGTCAGTTGGAGTGAACTCGGGCATTCTCATTCCTACCCGACTCACCTCGGTTCCCGGCGCAACGAAACTCTGCGGTTGCTCCGCCGCTAAATGCTGCACAGGCAATAAATGCTGCTGCTGCGTCAGTTGGAGTCGTTGCTGTTCGAGCGTTCTTCTTTCTTGCTCTAATTGTTGTTCTAAAAAATGTTGCTGTTGTTCCGTCGATTGCTGGCTCGGCTTACGCGTTAGCATCATTTCGCTTCTCGGTTAACTGTACTTTAAAAAAAACACAGGTCATACGAAAGTCACGCTCGACTGTCTTTATGATTACACCACACACCACACTCGCGATCATCGATTTTATCAAATGTAATAAAAGAAAAAATATAATAATTTTTAATCGGGGTCACCACTTTGGTGATAGCGGTTGGTGATTGCAGGAGCATCGATTAATATGAGGCGAAGTATTGCGTTATCGAGTTCTTTATTAAATCTCGGATTACAATATTCTCGCGACGCGAGACAATATTCTTGACTCCGCAAAATCTCGAGATCGAATGTCCTTCTTTTCTTTATTAAATCGATTGTCCGGGTCACATATTTGTTCGAGATGTTTCTTTTATTGTCAACATATTTTTCGTCCTGTCATTATTTTCGCTTCTGTTACAATTTGAATATTTCACTTTAATAACGATTAATGATTAAGTTCCACGACTAAGTAATTGATTACGCTCTCGAAATTTACATGCTACGACAATTATACGGATGCACGCAATTATTCGCATTGCTCAAAACAATTAAATGGCATCTCCGATTTGAGAAGAAACAAAAGTTCGATCGTTATATTTGTCGCTCGATTCCAAATATCTAACGATTCCGAGTGACCCGGCTATGTGTGTGTGTGTATACGTGTGTCTTTCTAAATACGCGTGTTTGACTTTACCAGATGTGGCAAACCTATCGCCACACTCGTTTTCTTTTTCCAAGGGAAAAGGGATGTTGCAAGACTGCAATCTAAATAATGCAAACCGATCTCGTAATACTGCTGATTGAATCCCAAGGATTCTGACTAACCCGAGAATGATCAAATAAGAAATTAAAATAAGTTAAAATAATAGAACAATGCGCGCCCTTGCCGATTGCAACGAACTGATGTGCAATTCCGCACGTTGACTCCGATAACACCGTGTCGAAACGCTGACGTACCAAACAACGTTTCGACACGAGGACGCACCGAGACCGCGTAACAGTGGACTGATAAAAAGCGACGAGAGTAATCAAACGGCGCATTGCCAGAGACACAGAAGCTCAGATACATAAATACGACGACGCGTAAATATTAAGGAAGTGTGATAGTGCACGATAATTTGTGGGATATTCGGAAATAACGAACTCCCAAAGTAATTAAATAAAGTTTCTTTATTCCGATATTAAAATCGAGTTTGTGACTCCCCTTCCCCTCTTCCGCCACTCTCCCTTAGTTGCGTTCGGAGCGGCACAACAAATTGATGGCAGCGGTGGGATCCATAGTCAGAACCGGAGAAAATGGCCATCACACCCCTTCTGAGTCGGCCTGGAAGCTGGAAAGAAAAAAGGATACAAACTTGAAAGCAAGTTGCGCCAGCAGGAACATCCGGTAGAGCAGTCAGCGAGCGTCGGAGAAGACGCAGACCTACCGCAACTAGCGAGCAAACACCGACAACATGCGAATTGCGACTTAATGTAAGTCATAGAAAATTAAAGCGAGCACAATAAATATTAAGAAGAGCGATAACATAGATGTCGAACGAAGACATCAATCGAATATCCGTTGAGAGAGACTCATTATGATTACATAATAATACAGGCCGCCGTGAACTTAGTCCGAGCTCGCTGAGCCCCGCATAGGCGGAAAATACATGCGATCCACGCGATAATATGTGTCGTAACTTAAACGATTATTATCTCGACGATAGCTTAGAGAGTCGAACGGAGTTACATCTGAATATTGTAATCGAACACGTGTTCTCGCTTAGCGACATGGATAACAGCATGTTACCGAGTAGGGAGAGACGCGACGATAACTTACTACGCCCGACAGACATGAGATCTGACGTAAGTGACGATATGAACGCAAGCAACCCCAGCCGCGGAGAATTTTCGCTGACGTCCTACGACAGCAGCGTATTCGATCTGAATTTTATACGGCTTCACGAGACGCAAACCAGACAGAAATTGCAAAGTCATCAGGCTATTACGACCAATCACAGAAGAGCGATGAGTTAACTAACATAGAGCTAAATGACGAAGTAAAGCAAATGAGAACCACTCTAAATCAGCCACACTGGAAAGTCGATCCAGAAACCTCATACGATTCACGAGACATAATGCTAACCGAAATACTAGAGGATATATGAGCGCTACAGAGCCGTATGAGCCAGTTAGAAATGACGAGTTACAATCGGAATATTGACGCGGAAAATAGTGAACCGAGAGAGATTGTATATCGTACGGGCGTACGATGAATGACATCCGAAATTCACAAGATCCCGTGAACACGTATAAGAGATTAAAAGAAGCCTGCGATATGATTCCGGAGTTCGATAAAGCTTCGCACAAGCTGCCAGAATTCCTAAGCGCGGCATCGTATGAAAAACACAAATCCAAGAAAGGAAAGCACATTACTAGAAACGATACTATATACAAAATTAAAAAAAAGGGACATAATCGATTTCCAAACGCGAGATATACGCGCAACTAAAACCAGAACTGGAAGTATGCTATCTCAACAAAAAGAGTATCACATACTTGCAGTTAGATTCAACACATTAAAACAAAAGACGAGAGAATCGGCAAGAGCGTTCGGACAGATAAATTGGCCATAGAATTATATGAATCAATAATCGAAAGGCGACAAAGCACGACAGAATCAAAAAGAGCGATCTTAGAAACCATACAGCAACAGGCTATACAATTTTCAATTAGGATTACAAGATGATATAAAATTATTGATACGCGCTCAACACGTCTTAAAAACATCTTTTTTTAATAATTTAATAAGACATCTTGTAATATTTAAGACGTCTTTTAAATGACATCTTTAAGACGTCATAATGTTCTCTGGATTATTTTAAATATTTTGTAAATATGTATTTTTCAGATATTGTACTATCTGGTTTGTTTATAAAATATATTTTTTGAGTTACATTTATAGTAATATTACTATATTATATATTATATTATTAATATTGCCTTTTATAGATTTTCTTGCAATGGATGATTATTTTGAAAATGATATTTTGTTATTTCTTGCTACTGTACAAATATTTGGGTTAACATTGTGGAGAAAAAGAAAAATAAGCGCTGGATTAATAGAAGATGGGTACGACTCATAAATGTAAGACGTGACGAATACGGTGACTTCCAAACTCTTTTTGCGGAAAGAAGATGCCAATCTCTTTTTTCGATATACTAGCGATTTCCATTTATTGCACTACATCGAGTTAGTGCATGTGAATTCGCTATAAGATGAATGTAGATATATTTGACGAGCTTCTATAAATGATTCGACCTTATTTACAAAAAAGAAGCTTGAGACAACCAATTTACCCAGAACAACAATTTGCTTGATAACACTAAGGTAAAACATAATGCGTAAAGTATTATTCTAATTTTTACAGATTAATTATAATAATATAATAATAAAGTCAACTTTATTCTTTTAGTTTTAACACCACAATTCTGTTATAGATATTTGACAATTGGCGATCAAATGTTGTCGATGGTTCTTGCATACAGAATAGGAAATCTACAACTCATAATATTATAAAGGAAACATGTGCAGTGCTAAGCCAGGTTTCATTGTCAATATACATAAAAGTTCCTCCTGAAGATGATTGGAAACATATTAGCAATGATTTTTTAGCCAATTGGAATTTGCCGAATTGTATAGGTATAATTGATTTATGGTAAACACATAACTATACAAGCACCATCAAATTCTGGATCAATGTATTTTAATTACAAAAAAACATTCAGCATTGTTTTAATGACTGCTGGTGATAGCAAATACAAATTCACTTTGATCGATGTTGATGCATTTGGAAGTGAAAGTAATGGAGGAATCCTTTCCAGATCAGCGTTTGATAAGGCCTTGTATGACCCTCCCAAATAAGAAGGAAGAGTGTGTGTCACAGCGGGGCCCGACCACGAACCAGTCGTGAAAACTCGTAATTATTTTTGCGAAAAAATATCACCTCAGTCAGGAATCGAACCTAGATCTCCTGCTTATCGAGCAGGTATCTTATCCTTTCAACTATCGAGGCATGTGATGATATTTATCGCAAATAACGTATTTAGAATAACACATCAACAATACAATGATACACATATATACGTATATTACAATATACATATATACATGTCTCTCGAATTCCCACGACCGGTATAAATTAAATTTTCCGAAAGGAAACACTTACCTGGTTCTGAAAAAAAACATCTTTATATTTTGCTGACGAAACTTTCCATATGACAACAAATTTGATGCGACCTTATCCAGAAAGGCATTTGACCGAACAAAAAAGGATTTTCAATTATCACTTATTGCGTACTAGAAGAATGATAGAAAACACTTTTGGAATCCTTGTGTCTAGATGAAGAATATTTTGCAAGTCGATATATGCAGGTTCAGATGTTGTTGATAAATTCATTGTAGCAGCACTGTGTTTACATAACTTTTTAAAAATAAAAAAATGACGAGAAATTACCAATATCGAAGATATTGCCCAAATCAGTATGTGGATCAAAAAACTACTGAAGGAAACATAAATGCAAGTGAATGGAAAGACGAAGTAGGAGACAGCAATTTAAGAAACTTGACAAATGGTGCACACCGAGCTGCTAGAGAAGCATATGAAATAAGAGATATTCTTTCATCTTACTTTTTGACTCCGTTGGTAAGATTAGTGGCAATTAAATTTATAAATGTACGCCGAGGACAATCATGTGCCGTAAAAATCTTACTTTAAACTTTTTTAATTTTATTGTATGTTTAAATTAAAACCAAATGCATTTCTTATATTAAAAAGTTTTATTTTAAAGTTGTAATAGTTAGAAGTAAGTTATAACAGTTTATTTATTGTAATGATACATGTTTATATAATATATATGCTTATACTGACAGTTTATTTGTTTATACTGATGTCCTCTATTATTCATTATGCGAGTACAAAAAGTCCATAAATTTCCTTTTTAAGTTGCTTTTCATTGGTTCCATTGTTCTATGGTGGGGTACACCAATGTGGTGTGTCGTTGGCCACCACCGTATATGTGCGTGGTCTTCGTTGAGTCTCCGTTGATGGCCGTCCGCTGTTGGAGTACGAAGCGGAATGGGCGACGGGGAATGGAAGGTTGTCGTGCTGGTTCCCAAAAATATGAACCTCAAGCGTACATTTGGTTTGTATTTAATAAAGGCAAGGAAAATGTCGTATACATTATCGGCGCAGTGCGGGCGTTTGAGTGCCCCGCGTATATGTGGAGTCGCCGGTGGTGGTCGGGGAGCGTGGCTCCTCTAGGAAGCGTCGCGTGCGTCGTTCACGGGCACCGGCTCCGCCGTGATGAGGTGCCCGGGCTCGTGTGGCCAGCGCGGCGTCGATAGGCGTTGAGGCCTCGGTTTGCGAGGCGGCGTGGAACGTAGACTGCCG